CATAATATATCATAAGTTAGTTTACAAAAAAATAATTCATTAACACTTTGGCTGGTTGAGCGGGGGGGGGGGGATATACAATAACTCTAGGAACGATCTTGTTCGTATATAGTAAATGAAGAAAAAAAATCGAGGCCCCAGAGAAAAATTGCGGCCGAGGCCTTTTATATGCCAGGCCGACACTGTATATATATATATGATTATAACGATCGGTAATCGTATTTAACGCCGTTCAGATGGATGTGCCGCCGGGCAGTCACAATACAACGCGCGCGCAAGCACGTGCCTCGTCTATATATTTTATATTGTAAGGAGACCATTGTTCGGTAATGTCCAAGGACAAGTGGAATGATATGTCAACTCGCCCTGCCGGAGTTGAGGAAATAATAAAAACAATAGAGCCTTGTGTCGCTGCCGCCGAGGGCAACGAACACGCTGAACCACATTTCACATGTATAATAATATGTGTGAGTGCAACTAAATATTACAATATCGTAAAATATATTATATAGATCGACAGCTGTGCGCAGAAGACGGTTTTCAGCACACTCCGATGAGTGGACAACCATTGAACAAAAATATTTTGTAAACATTGCCAGTACATGACGTCATGTAAATACAATTTATATAATACGATAATATGGGCTACGAAGTTGTAAGTGCATCTTGCCACAATTTTACCGAATAATGACTTTTTGGACAGCCGTCTGAGTCTGATGACAGGTTTACACAGGGCAGCCTAACAATAAACTCTTCTTTGTCTTCACAAAACTGCGAAGAATAAAAACAAATCGAAAAAATCTGGTCCAACTAATCTGGTATAATATACCTACACATTATAATGGTGACACGATGTATACTAACCGTATCCGGATCAGAGGAGATTGTCAACATCAAAGGCCAAAGGGGTTCTGGTTTTGTTCATGTTTTCGGCGACTTTTAACTACTTATCACCTTGTTGTCCCGATGTGCAGAACTAAGAAATATCAACATCTGGAATCTGGTTGATAAAATGATTATCATTAGTCATTCATTACAATATATAGTCATAACATATAATTAATAATTATATAAAACTATTATCACTTTAATTATCAATGTTGCACTGTAATGCTTTTGTACAGTCGCACACAGTAGATGACGTATTTTTTTTTGTTTCTTCTTAATTTGCATAAATTTATAAGCCACCAATAAAACAATAAAATGAAATCTTCAATAGAAAATAATAGTGGCATATCGAATTATATAATAATGTTTATAAATTATAGACTGCAGTGGTTAGTGTTTATAGAGTCACTCCGAGTTACTCATCATTAATCATTGAATTTGGTAAATGGCTGAACTTCATAGGGTTTTAGCTTACATTAACTTAATATTTAAACAAAAGAGGGATTAAGGCACCCAGTGTCAATGTAATTTTGTACACAAAAATAAGTCCTATGGGAATAATAATTCTGTTTTGTAGAATCGACCAAATTTGATAATTTTTTTTTTTTTTAACTAATAGAGGGTAATATTCTACAGGCCACATCGAATTTCGTTTGTTAGAATTACATTACAAGTATCGCATACTGGTGCTGGTTCCTTTCTGATGAAATAAACATGTGTTAGGTGAAAGTGGCCTATTTTAGCTCGATATTTAAATTTTTTTATACATATACAATTTTCATTACATATTTATAACAAAATAGTTGTAAACATCAGTAAAATAAAATAAAAAATATATTCACATAATATATAGGTACATTATATCATATAATATGTTCAAGTTTTTTATTTGTTTTTAAAACTCAAATATTATAATTGATAATTTCGATTCCAGGTTTTTTATGGATCGTCGTAATTGCGCCGCGGTGAATTTTAATTGAATAGTAATGCACGAATTATAGTAAATTTTAATTTTATAAAATGAAACATAAAACAAAATAATAAAAATACCTTTCATGTACCTTATAAATACCGAATTAATGCTTCACCTAGGTAATATAATATATTTTATACTATACAATTACGCACTATTTATAAAAATAAAATATTAGTACTCATTTCTTATATATTACTTATAAAGTTATATACTTCGATATAAATTTACTACCTAAACAAAATAGGCGCAGTTCTAAATTTTGGTGTAAAAATTTCAAACATTTTTAAAATGCTTGTTTTTGCGAATTATTTGAGTCGAAAATTATTTAACTTAATGTACTTGTAGCCCATAGGCGTTTATACATATTATAATTTATTCAATATGTCATAATTATTATTTATTATATTGATACCTACTCAGAACACGTCGGTAGCGTGATTTATACACACAACACACTCAAATTTGTTTCCCAAATACACAATATATCTTAATTATATTATATTATTCTTAACTAAATATAATTGAGAAGCTAATGAGAATTTTAGATATTATGTAAAATATTCTAAATATAAAGTAGTTACTTTTGAAGTTGAAAGACGTCAAACAATATTCTCTAAAATAAAAAATACTGTGGTTCATTATAGGCTGCCAAGGTTGAAAGAACTCAAAAAAAATTTGATAAATTATTAACTTTTGCATATTATAAGTAAAAAAAGATGATTTTAGAAAAAATCGAACTATAATTTTGAGGCTTTTACAAAAGGATTAATCTTTTACAGATTATCGAAAATTTAACATTTTTAATTCTCATCAAATTTTTAGACTCAAAAAAGTCTAAACAGAATATAAATATCATTATTAATTACTTTAACATTCGATTTCCATGATAATGTTATGAGTTTATTACTTTAATGAATGCGGGGTCTTTGTGAATATTATAATGTTTACGAAAAATAGTGTTAAAAAAATAATAAAAAAATATAAAGAAAAAAAGACTTGATTATTTTTCAAACTTGGTTTATTGTTGTTTGCATTCTTTAAAAATAATAAAACAAATTGTTTTATCATGTATACTATAATAGAAATCGTGTTTAATAAAACATAACCGCCTGCAGTATGCTCAGTAGAATTCATTATAATATCAAGCTCTTATATTATATTCGAATAAAAGTAAATTGATTTACTATTATTATCTTATATTTATATTTATTTGCACATTTCAATAGTTTTTCCTATATCCAAAACCTAGTCGGATAAAAATATTAAATAATAGTTGATGAGGTATTTCTTAAATAGGTATAGGACTAAAAATATAACTCATACGTCATAAATAAATAATAACTATAGTAAGGGATTATTTAATATTTTAAATATGTTGTCATGTTGGTATCGATGCTGATGGCGTCCATATACGGAGCATCTTGTTAATGCCTGACAAATTTTGTCTGATGTCGTAAGATGTAGAAGCAGGGCAGGAATTAGAATGTTGGGAGAATAAGGAAAAAATATTGTGGGACCCTGGATCTAATAAAATTTTCATCCTTGGCCCACCTCAAATTGTCTTCATGCTACAAAAAAACAAGTACCATAATATATAACCTGTCATGGGTTATCTTTATAGATTATTCAGGGCTTGAAACCGTAAATATTATTTCCGATTTCGGTTTCGGTTATTGGTATTTATTTTTCCGATATTGATTTCGGTTTTGGTTATCGGTATTTATTTTTTCTGATTTGGTTTTTGGTTTTGAATACCGGTTTTTATATTTTTCGATTTCGATTTCGATTTTGATTACCGGTATTGATTTTTTCCGATTTTGTTTTCGGTTTCGATTTTTAACGGTTTAAACCGGTAGGTATTCAAAATCGGTATCCAATATCGGTTTCAAGTCCTGCATTATTATTATTATAATGTTTACGTATAATAATCTATTATGAAAGTGAGACCAATACAATATTCGTCATTTTTATTATTGGAATCTAAATAAGGTACTAAGGTAATAAGGTTCATTTTTTTTGTATAATTTATATTACTATTATATGCATTTATTTCTATAAATTATAGTTTATAATATTATATGAAATTCTTATCGAATGTAAAACTATTAGTTTAGAGTATTATAATCGTTAGTGATTAAAGTTTGAACTCATGTCATGTCATGTTGTCCATATATGAGGTGACTGTATACATTTATATACTATTCACTATAATGTTAATATTTCTTTATTTAAATGCCTTGTCATTCACTACGTAAAATAAACACATTCAATTTAAATAAATTATTAAATTATATTAACACATATACATCTTGTACCTACTTCTAAGACGTATGTGGTATGTGGCTACTAACGATAGTATAGTTTTAATCAAAATTTAAAACTTGTTAAATATTACCATATAAATCTTCAACGGAATAATAATAGAAACATAATCCAACGTGTGTTTACAATGCCCCTTGACATCTTTATAAGTTAAGGGGATTCGATACCGATCGTTTTTAAGGAGCTGAGTATAGGCAATTTTAAGGCTATTTCCATAGTGCGTGCGTGCGTGGCGTGTATTTGTGTTTGTAGTAAACGATCATTAGTGTTAGTGCCCCCCGCCCGCCCAAAGACAACTTCAGCCCGCAACATTATGATATTTCTTATCTTCGATTATGACGGCGCGGCGTCCCGTAATTCCACTACCTGTATAAAAATATAATAAATATACATAGTACATGTACATAAATTATTATAGATACTAGATAGTAAATCATTCGCTGCCTGACGTAATTTTACATTTTTATTTTTTACCCAACGAATATTGATCTCGGGCATTTTTGTAATTGAATATAAAGATAGGTAAAATAAGTATATAACTATTGTAACTTGTAAGTTATTAATAATACAATAATAACAAGCGTTTATTTCAAATAATAAAGTAGTTTTTATGATTATTTTATTCGCTTTTTAGACTTAATTTTTTTCGTTTATATTTTTATGTAATTACCTATTACCTACCTGTAATCTGTATACTACCTAAATTGTATTTGTTTGAGAGTCAAAAAAACACTCATCACTGCAAAAACTTTTTTATTTTACTTAATTTATTGTACGTATTATACATTATTATAATAGGTATCTAATTATAATATTATAAGCCTGTTCTAAGTGGAAGTCCTCGGTCAAGTCGAGAATCAATTATCTCCGGAAGTAAGCATTCCATGTAAAACTTCTTCAACTTTGGTTCTATATCCATCCAGAACTTGTCATCCCTTTCAATTTTCTCTACTATAAGTCCTATTAATTGGTATAGGTGTTATTATTATAATTTTATATAACAAATGGCTATTTGTATACATTATCTTGTAGGTAACTTATACATTTAAGCTTCATTTATAATAATTTTTACCTTTAGGTGTCCATATACAAAAATAACAAAACTTCCTATTAGTTATATGTAGTTGTCCCTGAATTTGATAGAAGTATGCATGTGATGTTTTCAGCTGTAAATTTCCATCATTGTACGTCATACATTTTAATTTTTTTTCATGAAAGGCCTCTTCCGGCGTATAATCTTTTATGGATGATGGACATTTAATTTCAACAATAGAATCATAACTTATCAAACCATCTGGACTAGCAGCCAAAAAAGGCAAATCATTATCAACATTTTTCGTGAACAATCCTGGACTATGAAAAGTAGCTTTCTTATGGAAATGGCTAATATACGAAGGGCCGAGGTTGAACGCATTGACAGCCGTATCGCAACGGGCTTGGTAAGAGCCTATATTTAATATATAGTAATAACTAATAATATTAAGTATACATTTGCGTTTATATTTTTTTAAACCTATTATTATTTTTAACACTTGCCTCTAAAAGAATAATTAACACCTTTACCACCGATGAATTTAGCAACAACGCTATTATAACTTTCCACGCAGTTGTTGTTTACAAAATGAATAAGACTATCAGAATGATGTGCAACTAAATTTCTTGCTCCCAAAATATCTTGCCAAAGTCCACAATTTTCCATTTCGGAAATTATATTTCTTTCCCCGGGTTTAGGTCCATCACAAAAATAACTAAAAAAAATCATTAATTATCATAATAAAGTTTGTCTATAACCTTTTTTTATGTTTAAATAAGCACATTACGAAAAACCCACTTAGCACACTTGTCATGAGAACCAAAAACATGATAAGGCCCATTTTCTATATCCTCCCTTAATAAAGTGATCTTGTAATTTAAAGGGACGTCTAATTTCGATCTATATTTAATTGCGTATGTAATTCCGGACCTGTAATATAATTTGTATTGTGAATACAAAATAAAGACAAGACTAGTAAATAAATACAAGACTGGGAAAAGCAGAATATTATTCTATTTTTTTTTCAATGATTAAAAAAAATTACCTCAGTTTTAAACGTCGTTCCTTTAACATTTTTCGTAGCTCACCAGGGACGACAACGCCGCTTGAACTTTTTCTCTTTGATGCTATATCCACTATGCGATTTAAATAGTTTCTCAAAATATGGTTAGTACACTCAATTTTTTGTACTTCCGTATCAAATCCATACGGTTTTGACAACATAATTTTTTTTAGTACACTAGAGTCTCCATCTCCTATGAGTTTATGATAAATAATATTATGTGTAGGAATGCTTTGTCGAAAACCTTCTACAATTATATCTGACTCCATAGAAGTGCTAGTGTTGTTCCAGTTTTTATAGCAAATATGATTTGGAGGATCTTTGTTTATTGCCTTAGCTTTCATACATACCGAACAGTATTTGTTCCGTACTCCAATAAATAATACTTTTTTTGTTCTATAACCGACAATGCAAGCCTGAAAATTAGTAAATATTAAAATATTAAAATTGTAGTCTTGCCCGCCTTTTTAAATATTTTATAAAATGATAAAAATAAAATCTTACAACTCCAGATAATGCATTGTAGTTATGTTTATAGGATCTTTTTGACCAAGCGCCATCAGCGACGACAGTTATCAAGGGTATACCATTACTATTTACTTCACCATTTTCAATAGCTAATCGCGCTTCTTCTTTGCCAGCCTCTTCAATCGATTCCCATGTAGTTAATTGTGTTTTATTTGCCACGAATTCATGTTCTTTCTGATATGTGTTATTAGACATACAAGGCATATCTAAAATGGCTGAAAATTGATCCAATTGGGAATACCCTTGCCCTGTATTTAACATGGCAGTGACAGCTGCAGCATTTACCGTTAATTTGTCATTTAAAATTGGAGGTTCAGAATAAATAATTTCTTTTTTACGACACATAGAACAATCAAAATGAAATTCAGAAAAAAATCCTTTACGAATTTCATGAGAAAAAATTAAATTTTTAAATGAACAATCAAATGGTGTATGACATACTGATGAAATTGATTTAAAAATATAACTAATGTCAACTATTCTTCGGCCATTTAATACATCATGTTCAACTCTAAAAACAATTTTAAATTCAAAATACTTATTTAATAATACAAATACAGGCTAACGTTTTTTATATGTATAGGTATACTAAATAATGTTAAGCTATTCAAGACAATGTCATTGCACTATTTATTTTTTCTCTATGACCCAAGCGCAACATATCAAAATTTTACGTTCACAATAATGATTATAAATTATAATTTAAATAATCATAATAACTTCCAAAGTTAGAGTGAAATTACCTCTTAAAAAATTTGAAGATAAAATTATTATTATAGCTAGGGCATAGCATAGCTTTTTATTATATTTTGATTTTATAAAATACTCATAACTCACTTTAAAATTAAAATATAATAAAAATCCTATGAAATGCCCTAGATAATAATATCTGATATTCTTATCTTTAAATTGTATAAGAGGACATTTCACTCTTATTTAAAAAATTCTTACGATTTTATTCATTCCCTATTGTGAACGTAAACTTTGCTATGTTGCGCGTGGGTCAGACAGAGATAAAACAAAAATATTGTGCATTGCATTATTTGCATAGTATAATAAATTTCTTACCTTGAGGTCGAATCGTTTTCTTTCACGGTACTTAGGGTAAATGTTGGTTCGAATATATTTGTTGAAGTTTCTGGTGACAATGGATAAAAGTCTTGTATCATACTATCATCATTAACCCTTAAATAACCATAACGGCGCTATTAGGGATCAAAATTACTAATAAAATAAGTTAAAAAAAAAAAAATTGTTTCTAAATTATACCATGTACAATACCATATGAACCGCAATAATGCTTTTAAAACAAAAAAAAAACGTTTCTATGTGTCTGATATTTTTTTATTCCTAATAATATAATTTCTTACCTTGAAGTCGAACCGTTTTCTGAGACTATGGTACTTAGGCTAAATGTTGGTTCGAATATATTTGTTGAAGTTTCTGGCGATAATGGATAAAAGTCTTGTACCATACTATCATCATTAACCCTTAAATAACCATAACGGCGTTATTAGGGATCAAAATTACTAATAAAATAAATATAAGAAAAATACAGAAAAAAATCTGTTTTTTCTAAATTATACAATATTCAATACAATATGAACTGCAATAATGCTTTTGAAACAAAAAAAAAATGTGTCTATGTGTCTTTGATATTTTTTTATTGGCATAGGACAACGATGGTTTGGTTAGGTTCGCAATCCGTTGCAGGCAAACAATTTAAATACTTATCAGTTATTATATTTTGAATCATAAATAAGTAATAAAACCAATTTTAAATTCTGAGCGGAGCGAAATCTAAAAAATATACAAACATAATATAAAATGTCTTATACTGACTTATCCCCGCTCAGAATATACACATTTGAGTTATAAAAAAAACCTAGAAAGTCTTTATGCTGTATAGTAGGTGTCGAGTGGACCTCGATCATACTATATATAAGCAGTATATTAGCAATATCGTAGTTTTTTACAGATTACTAAATGTTGTATAGATGATTTTTTTTATTATTATTCAGTAGGTACCTATTAATTTATTATATTTATTCTATTTGAGCCCCCTCAATATTGTACAGGAGGTCTGCCTATACAGGTGATATATTTTAAATACTATAAATCATATAATGTCTAGAAAACAATAATTATAATGTATTAGAGACTGACGTACATTTGTGCATTATCCGGTTCTGTTATAATAGTATCTTCGATAGTATTAGGATGGTTCTCCGATGCCGACAGATTATTTATTTCTCCCTATATTATAATAATACGTACAAAATTAAAATCACATGCACATAATAAAATTGTATACCTATATATGGTGTAAATTATTTTGACTTACCGTGTCACTGTCAGTTTTAAGATTTTCTCTCCATTTTTTTAGTTTATCTACATTTCCCTTGTGTTTTTTGGATAAATATTTCCTTCGTCGTTTTTTAATTTGTAAAACATTTTCCATCATAAGAAGAATAACGTAAAACGTTTACGAATTACAATTTATTATAATTTAGAAGCCAATAGAGTATGCAACTATCAATAATTACCGTAGCAGATATTATACGTAGCCGCTAGAGTGCTAGACGCTAATAATTAATAAATAATATTATGTGCAGTGTGCAGGAAATAGGGATACTCCAATAATATCAATTGCATAATATTATAATATGTTATTTATAAGTTTATGGATATTTTCATATTTATCGCAGGCGTGACGTCATCGTGCTGGAACTATTATTATATTTGGTTTACTCGGGCGGGCGGTGGCGACGTGGCGTACAGGTTCATGGAAATGGACACTTTCGCACGCGCAGTCACATGTCAAAAACGCACCGTCGCGTGCTTGACGAACAATATATACTATTTTTTTTTTTCTAAAAGTATCAATCTTTTGCCAATTGTACAGATTTTTCTAGTGATCGGAAACAAATTCTGAAAACATATTTGAATTCGTCATGAAGTTTACTTGAAAACGACTTTCTTACATTTTTAAATTGATTTTTTTAGTTTAATATTACTATTATTTTAAAATTCTAAAAATTCAAAATTTTGGATTAAAATTTGATGGGTTTAAGCGATCAATTTCAAAAAAGTTGAAAAGTCGTTTTCAAGTAAACTTCATGACGAATTCAAATACGTTTTCGGAATTTGTTTCCGATAATTAGAACAATCAGTACAGTTGGCAAAATATAGGTATATTTAGGTAGAAATCACAGCCGGGTGGAATCCCCTTAATGAAAAAGCTAATAGCTATAGAAGTAATAATAGAGAAATTATTATACGTATATGGGCTGAAATGTTAAAATTGTTAAATACTTATAGCTACAAACTTATAGTATACAGTATTTAGGTATTTAAATTATACTGAAAATATAAGAGGTATGAATAGCTGTGGTATTTGACAATAATTATTATTTAAAAATATTATAAACTATAAGTCATAGACTCATAAAGTCAAAACAACAACAATTTATTTAAATTTATTTAATATAGTCATTCGAAACTAGCGCTTGTTGATGCTCGTTTATTTTAATAATTGAAGTGTGTATCCAATAAGTATAGGTATATATAAATAATAAATATATTATATTACTATGGTAGTTTAAAAAAAAATTAATCAAATTTGAAAATAGTACTTATGCTTATGCCAGATTGCATAAACAATCACTAAACATTTAACTAACTTATGCTGTAATGGTCCCCTAAACATATTTTAGTGGTCCATGATTGGTATTTGGTCCATTCAATTTTAATAAACCATTAAAGTAATCAACTTTTTATGCAACCCGGGTACCCGGCATTAGAATGTAGCAGTATAAAAACAATAACAAAACTTTTTTGGACTTGAATTACATTTATGATATAAAAAAAAAACTTACTAATACTCAATAGAGCAAACAATAGAACAAGGCTTGAAACCTAAAACATCTTTTTCGGTTACAGATATTGGTATTTATTTTTTCCGATTTTGATTTCGGTTTTGAATATCGGTATTTATTTTTACCGATTACAATTTCAGTTTCCATATCGATTTCGGTTTTTAATAGTTTAACCGCTATTCAAAATCGGTTTCATACCCTGCAATAAAACAAATACATAAACTAATTAACGACAATATATTTTTGATGCACTATAGGCTATAATGTGACGGGCAAGTAGAATTTAATTTATAATAATGATAATAATATAGGTAGTAATAGTGATATGTATAGCAACAAAGTCAGATAAAAGTTAAAATAATGAAAAATAATTATAATATACTTACGCGTACCTACCTATCTCCGACGCAAAAGGTTTAATACTAACGACAGGGACGAATAATTAATAAAGGAGGCATAATATGGAGTACCTACCTATCGCATTATTCATCGAATATAGCAAAGATTGCAAGTGTGACTAATAAAGACTTATCGACGTTTTTTAAAATAATAATAACAATAATGTAACTAATGGTCTTTTTGCTGAAGTTTTAACTTGAATAAAT